GTGGTAATCAAGGCACGGGGGAAGAAAGTTAACAATCGAGAGGAGAACAAGCTCAGGGACCCTGCCTCCTGTGCGCCCCCTTGATGGCATGCGTGTCTACCTACGGTACTGGATGCAGGTGCAGGCGGCGCAACACAATAGCGTGGGAAGGGATGTGCTAGAGCAGAAGTGAGGCGCGCGAGTGGATTTTGGGGGGGGGGGGCCCGTTGATCCATCCTGCCCAGTGCCCAGTTCATTGCTGCCCCTCCAAGCCCTCCGCTCCACTTGACTGTCTGCCGCAGGTAACTGTGAACAGCGTCGTGCCTGCCTGACTGACTCCCTGTTTGTCCAGCCTTCCTTCCATCCTGGTCGCTTCGCTCGTGTTCGTCCTCGATGGCCCCTCCCCTGAAATTCCCCAGCTGTGGGGGGCCGAATGACGTACTGCGCCGAGGGGGATGCAGGGACTCGATTGGCCTGTGGGTATCGGGGTGGGGGCCATCCTCAGCCCCGCCTCTTTGCTTTGGGAGTGAGTGTGTGACCTGCACGACGAGCTCTGTCGAGCATCATGCCGCTGGCAACAAAGAACAAAACAGTTTATGAGAAATGTGTCTGCATCCGAGACGTCTTCCATTGCATCGTCTTCGTACCAAAATCCAAAATCGAGCTGGCCACCGAGATACCAACGGAACCCTTCGTTCACGGCCAAAGGTACCAGTCTGCCTCACCCGACCGCTAGCGGTTCACGATGTCCAGCTCTCCAGGCGGCGCAGGCTACCCAAAGTTTCAATGACACTAGCCAGCGTCGGGAGTCACCAGCGTGTATCCCATGAACCAAAAGAATCAGTGCTGTTGGCCATGATGTTCCGAATCGATTGCAACACTGCCGCGCACGCAAATGGTGCTCATGGTGCTGCGTCCAGGTATGTTGACGTGAGAGACTTGCGCGCCGGGGAGGCCAGGGCAGGGTCAATCTGAGCCTAGGCGAAGACGATTTGCGTTCAACTGCACGAAAGCTTAGCATATGTCGCATGGCTTCCCCAGCCCTACTACCATTCGGTTCAGATATACGTGTATCGCAGACTGCCATTGTCTGATCACTCGCCCTGTCTGCTGAGACAAACATTTGGAGCACAATACGCAACCGAATTGTCGCGGATCTAAACCCATTGAGAGATCGCGAAACTGGAACCTATCATGCACGATGTGGAAGGGAAAATGACCAGAAGATATGGAGGAATTAAGCTGCACCACCAGCACAACTCTCATCCCCTGGGACTCTGAAGGAATCCCATTACTCCAATGTCGTACTGTGTTACAGGCTCACCGTCGCATCGTCGGGACACGGCGGACCAGATCCCCGCAAACCCACAATCCCCAGACTGGGGTCCCGCTCCTGAAGCCTTCTGATCATCCAGATTCCAATACCATTCTTGACTTTGGCTTGTCAGGTTTGGTCAGCAGATCGTCAACAGCAAATGAGAGATGCCTCGAATCCCCAAGTCATTCATCAGCGCAACAGCGGCAACGGCTCGCACACGCCCCTCCATACTAACCATTCCCTGTCATGTCACCAATTCTCCTATTTCAGACCAAATGCTATCGGGGTACTTTCGAGAGACGCAGAACTCAGAAAACACCAGGCGCAAAATCTACTATCGATATCTTGGCCGTCATGTCCGACAGTTCCTCGCAAAACTTGCGATGCTGCTGATCTTCATTGACGTATATTCTCCGATCATCTTCCGTCTCAAACTCGGTCACAAAAACGTGCGTCATGCCGCCCTGTCGCTGTCGTCAATTATCCAAGGGACCTCCCGGGTCAGCGTCTGTGCAGGAGACTTCTTACCTGACGACCCTCGGTGCTATGGTCAATGCCCCCTGTGATCGACTTGATGAGAGGCCGTCCCGTAGTCGGGTGAAGACAGCTGGCCTTCAGCGCGAGAGCGCCGTCGCAGATCTGACACGTCAGTCTGTTGCTGGCGAAATGTGAGAGTGATCAGCTAACTCACACGACTTGACCTCCTCGTCGATGACGAGCTCCTTGAATTGGTG